TTTTCTCACAACTATAATGATCAAAATTGGGATGATGAATTTGAACGTTTTCTTATAACAGTTGCTTTACTTTTTTTTTTTTTTTGCAAATCCTTATCCTTATTTTAACCTTTTCGAAAAGAAGGAAAACCTATGCGGAAAACTGACGAAACAAAAGGAATTCTAGACTGTGTTGTGCATCCAACCGTTCTTAGTCAGGTTGGAAAAGCATGTACAAACATTTTTCTAATAATTGAGATCTCACAAGACCACATCTAATGGCAAAAAAATCACATTTATCAATTTTTTATTATTTTATTTAAATTTTTATTTTTATAAATATAAATAAATAAAAATAATGTATTTTGATCAATACTTTTTATTTAAAAACTTATTTATCTGGTGTGGTTTTTATTTTTATAAATATAATTAAATAAAAATAATGTATTTTGATCAATACTTTTTTTTTAAAATGTTTTTATGAATTTTATTCAATTCTAATTATAAAAATAAACTAAATCCCAAATTTTAGACTAATATCATTTTCTAGTAAAAATAAAAAAATAAAAAAATAAAGGTTTTTAGCCCTTGGATGAGGTTGGTTCAATCCAGTGCCCGAAAAATCGGGCTGTTCAAATTCTAACCGCCCAGCCATTGTCCGGTTCTGGTGTCAGTTGGTTTTGGTGAACCTGTTTGGTATTTTAAAAGCATTAAAAATAAATTATATAAAATCTCAAAAAATAAGGGATTTTATTTATAATATATTTTTTAATGTTTTTGATTATTTTGGTAAAGATTGAAAATTGGTTTGGTCATTAATACTTATTTTTTACATTTTTCCCTTTTTTAAAATTTCAAAAATACCGTTGAACACAAATAGATTCAACATTATTTGGGTGTGTTTAGTTTAATAGTGATTTAAATATATTTTATTATATTTTTATGTATTTTTTTTAACATTTTTTTGACTATCTACGACAATTAGGCTGGTTGAACCAGCCGATTTACCGGTTAATACCAAGTAAGCGCTTCCAATAATCCAATCCCATTGTCCAGTTAACCGTTGAGGTTTGATTTTTTCCATCCTGGTTCAATCTCAGCAATTGAAAGGTGCACACACTGACGCCATTTAAGCGTGCACGGCTTGTGGACAATACCAACCCTTGCAAGTTTTCAAAACACTGTTTGAAAACTTTTGTTGAATGAAAAAGGCGTCCACAGACCACAGTAGGTTGCAAAGTGAACTAAGTGTGTCATATGATCACGGGTGTAGTTGGCATACGGATGCATCCGTAGCTGTAGAGGTAAGGTGCACTTTCAAATTTTATCATGGTATATAATTTTGATGTAAAATGTTTTTAGGATTGTTTCAAAATTTATTTTTATATCTAATTATAAAATTTTAAATTTAAAAAATGGTTAAAATCAAGTAGATCTATAAACATATGAAAATTTTGAAAATGGACCGTGTAGATAGTATGTTGTAAAATTCACTATTTCTGAGACTTAAAATCCTTTTATTTTTTATAGTCATGCATCTCGATATTGAAATGATCAATCAAAGGGTTTTTCAATATTAAAACTACATGTTCTAATGAATTTTTGAGGTGCATATGTAGTTCTTCGCATCCTTATATAAACTTTTTCCTATGATCACAAAGCAAAGTTTTCAAAAGCCATTGATATTAGACAGGTGAGTCAATGGGAAGAATCTCACCAAGCTTTTTTTGTCCACATTATGTGGCAAAAAGTTGAAATGATAATATATAAATTATTTTTTTCATATTATAAAAAATTTAGTAAAAAAGAGTATTATGAAATTGAAAAATAATGATAAAAAAATAAAAAAATTTCAAATCTTAAAAATAATATATCTTGTAACAAGTTTTTTGTGCAGTCTATTTTCAATATTTCAATCGTTTATAGATCTGCCGAATTTGCACCTTTTTAAATTTTAAATTTTAAATTTTATAATTAGAGTTGAACTCGGATTTTCAAATCACCGTAAGATTTCCCACGTGGCAATTATCTTTTTTTGGTAAAATTTAGAAAAGCGCGTTACTTGAATAATATAAGGTGGCCACCATATAAAACGTCATCTTTTGTTTTTCTTGTTAAAAATCGAAACGACAGTTACACAATAACTACTTTTACAAGTCTTTAGAAACCTATTGCAAACTCCAAAAGATGGCCTTCCCATTTTATTGCCTAATTTCATTTACGTAATTTAGCAAATAAAATATAAACTAAAATACTAACTCACTTTTGGCGGGAAAATACTAACTTATTTTTGGCGGGAGTAAAGAATGAAAACGTATACAATGAGACCATTAACCTTTGAAATAGGGAGGTTATAATTATTTATAACCATCCGATGTGAAATCTGATAGCATGGGTGTGTCACACGTCGAAAAAAAATTCTTTTGAACTTTGATATTGGTCAATGAAATAAATACAACCACTCAATTTCACATCTAATGGCCAAGATTTATTGTGATCACCTTTGGTACGAGATAAATGATCTCATTATATATTTTCCCATACATAATTAAGAATATCCACTTGCCTTTTCAATTTATTTTACCGAACGGTGACAGATGAATACATCATTGCAAACAAATAAATGAAAGAAGAATTTGAGTTGTAGACCTGGCTGTGTGTGAGTAAAGACATCCCAATTGCTCAAGCCTCTCCCACCTTCTTTTGCTGCCCCTTCATACTATTACACAAGGAAAACAACAACAAAAACTATGTTAAATTCCAAAATTTCAAAGTCTATTAATCTCATTAAAGTGCATAAATGGAGAATCTAAGTCATATAATTGCAAAGTTAGAATTGAGCAAAATAACTCAAGGGAACAACTATAAAAGGCTTAGGCTTTGCATATTATAATTGTCAAAGGAAATATCACATAAATGAGTAAATTGCTATATGGTCATAATAGTGGTGTATAAAAGAATGGACGGCTTTCACAACATTTCTCAAATAAAAATATTGATTCAACTCCCTAAAACTGCACTTAAAATAAAGATATCGTATATAAGAAGATAATGGGATGGATTCTTGGAAATTGAATCTTTTAGTAGAATACACTATTGCGAGAAATTCAATGGTGATGAAGTTTATTAATTTCAATTGAATAAATAATCCATAAGATATTTTAGTATGGCATCAAAGTTGACAAAGTCTCTATTTGCGAGAAATTGGATGATGATGAAGTTTATTAATTTAAATTGAATAAATAATCCATAAAATATTTTACTATGGCATCAAAGTTGACAAAGTCTCTATTCAAGATAAAATATACCATTGGAAAAAATTGATTTGGAAATTCACAAAGCACAAGCAATATGGGTGCTTCCTAATAACTAAGTCAACAACAAACATATATATGATTACGACGCCACTAAGCAGCGCCGATTTTTTCGGATGGCGTGGATAAATCTACCGCAATGGCTCTACTATTTCTGTTGCGGTACCGCAATGGACGCAGTAGAGCCACTACAGTCGATTTTTCATGCAAAAGATATAAGACCCGCAACTGCTCTATGAGAGTCGTTGCGACTTTTCAGGCAAAACCGCAATGTCTCTACGAGAGCCGTTGGGGCTGAAAACACTGTAGCATTTTTAAAGGTTTTCCATATGATTACAATACTAATAATGGCTAAAATGATGCCAATATTGCTTGAGAGTGACATTTAAGGGGAGCAATATCAAGCTCTAGATTAAGTAGAATCAACATTTTTTAGAATTGTTGAGCTGGTTCAAAATCGATAGTTTAGGGTCCTAGACTCCGTAGTTTTGCCGAAGTTCTTACTTATTGCTTGTTACTTTATCTATTTATACAAAAATGCCTTAAGCACCTATGAGAGTACTCAGGCGCTTCCGTGTAGGATCAGAATAGGTGGGTAACCGGCTCGACCCACCAATGACCTCGACTTTTCTTTTAAAAGGGCGACAAGGAAAAATATACCATGATAGTAATCGGTTTCAAACAAAATGTTTTAACATCGAATTTCAACACCGGGAGGGTTGGGTTTGTATCCAAAGTGAACAAATCATTTTAGACAAACTTAGAGTGATGAAAGAGCACAACTTAAACCATCATTGTGCTGGATAATATGCTTCTAGCAAATTATTTGAAACCAAAAATATTATCATAGTGTCCAATTCCTTTTCCCTCCTCTCTCTTTTTAAAAAAGCGTACATATAGAAAGGACACCATTTATTTATGACACAAAGAAGTCATAATCATTTTTAGTCGATAGATGTGAAATTAATGTGCCATTAATTACACATAATGTTCAGCTATTCCATGCCAGAAATAGATAGTCTCATAGTATACAATCCCTTTCAAGAAAAACACTAGACGTAATTTCAAAATAGTACTACTACTCCTCCTACTAGTAATAATAATAATAATAATCACAATAGTGGTAGTAAAAATATTGACCTGATAAGCTGAGGATGCAACTCCAAAGATAAAACCAGGGGGGAAGCTGCTGCGATTTAAAGCCTCAGCGAAAGGGAAGACTAAGGCAACAATTAACACCAGGAGAGAAGGGCTCAAAGCCATTGGGAAACTTAAGCCCAAGCCTTGGACTTGCTTACAAAACCCACATCATGACTCATTTAATAAGGATAACAAGTAGAAAATGACAAAAGTGTCCCTTTCCATTATCCTTTATTTATTTATTTCTATTATTGTAGTTTTGTTGGTGAGACTTACATGTACATTGCTCAATAATGCTATTAAAACTTGAAGTCTTCAAATAACTTGGTGGTTGAAAGTTATCATGAATACATTCTTATCTCACACATCTCCAATAATTTCTTTTAGTTCAGATTTTTTTGTTGTCTTAAAACGTGACAATCCGTTGGAGAGTCCGATTCCTTTCTTTGTTTTTTCTGTTCTTGTTGTTGAGGACAGGGAATGGCGAGTTTCAGATTTTAAACTCCTAAATAATTTTAAATCACTGAATTGTTTGTATGGGTTGAGGTCAACTGGAGATTCGATATAGGTAGGCAGCATTAATGTACATTATCTTGAGCACTTGATTTTAGGTACCAACTCCAATAATGGCCGAAGTTTCTATAACGCGCAGGCTTTATGAAAACAAAATAAAGCCTCACCTCAAATCCTTGTCCCATTTTCGACGACGGAAATCTTTATGATGGCTTTAAAATCAATTTTCAACACCGACAAAAAAAGTTGAAAGTAAAAAAATGTATAGTTCTTCAGATTTGTGAACACTTATTTTAGGGAGAAATGGATGGTCTAGGTAATTTGTTACAATATACACTAATTTTACGTTTGAAGTCCTAATTTTTCTTCACAACCATAATGTTCAAGTCGAGATGATCCATATAAAGGTTTTCCAATGCTTGAAGTACAATTTTTGAGGGATTATGAGGTGACGCTTCACTTATTTTGATAGGTTTGGAGCCCTATCAAACCATTTTGCATTAATAATACAAGTGGATATATTTTTATAAGTCCTAGGCTTTATGAAAACAAAGTAAAGCCTCACCTCAAAGCCTCGTCCATAAAGCGCTTTAGGTGTTGGACATCTCCTTGATGGCTAAAATCAATTTTCAACTCCGAGCATGAAATTTGAAACCTAAAAAATGGCATAGATCCTGTAGATCTATGAACACTTATTTTTAAGGCGAAATGGATAGTTTAGATAATGTGTTACAATATAAACTTTTAAGGCGAAATGGATAGTTTAGATAATGTGTTACAATTTAAAATTTGGATATCACGACCATTTTTTTTTATTTTTAAATTATATTATTTTTCTAATGCACGTGCTTATTACTGTTGTTTTGGATGTATTGACTATTTCAACTATTTGACGTGTGTGATGCCTATGACCACGGCGCAAGAATGGCCACAACTTCCACATAATTAATAAATTTAGTTTTATTTATAATATTTGAAAATGATATGCGAATCTTATCTGCTACAATGGCAACTACCATTCCTTGTAAGACCAACACTTCTTTTGGAGGCCCAAACAATCAAAGTCTTTAAACAGTATTGAAAGATGTCGTTTAAACATTGGAAATTTTTTTGGTAGATTGAAAATTTATTTTCATCTCAAATTATGAAATTTTAGTTTAAAAAATACTTGAAAATTTATTTTCATCTCAAATTATGAAATTTCTAGCTTAAAAAATACTGTATCTGGCAGATCTATAAACAGTTGAAAATCTTGAAAATTTATGGCCAAATAATACATTATAAGATGCACTGATTTCAAGAAATTTATTTTTATTATGTCCATGAATCTCAAGATCAAGATGATTGGATTTGAGGGTTATTGACATTGAAACAACTTCTTCTACTGATTTTTGAGGTGTTCGATAATTTGATTGTTGATGGCCTCATCCTTATATATACTTTTTCTTTTATTTGGTTGGATGTGAAAGTGACAAGTTTGTTCTTCTTGGAATTAAGAGAGGGAGAGAGAGATTCGAAGGTTAGGGGCGTAGATTTTGGATGAGATATCGTAGTACAATAATGTGGTGAAAGTGGGGGTCAAGGGTGGCCCAGTTTTGATTAATTGTCTTACTCCATTTTTATTTTTTTTGCAAGGACATGTAAGAGAATATGCGGATTTTTTTATAGAGTGTGCAAAGAAAATCAATAAGTTACATACGCATGGTTATAAAAAACAAAAGGGAAAAGTTCGCATAGAGCTTAGGCTCTAAACAATCAAATTAGAGCCCACCTCAAAACTTCCATCCGAAGAGATTGTTTTGATGCCAAGAAATCATCCAATTGATCATCTCGATATCAAGATGCATAGACATAAAAAAAATAAAATGAATTTCAAAGTTTGGAAATAATGCATCTTTTAACGTATTTTGTGACCGTCAATTTTCAAAATTTTCATGTTTTCATAAATCTGTACGATCGGCACCATTTTTTAAGCTTTAAATTTTATAACTAAAGATGGAAATATAATTTAAGGCTATAAAAAATCTTCTCAGTATTGAAACCATATTTCTCAATACTATTTGAAGGTAGGCTCTAATTTTTTTCCAATGAATTACAAAAGCTCCATTTTTTGTCCAATGAAATTGAAAGCTTCAAAATTTTTGCTGACGATCAGATTGATAAATACTTGAAGACCTTGAAAATTGATGGTCCAGATATTGCGTTATAAGATGTACTATTTTCATGTACTTAAATTTTTTTTTTTTTTTTTTCATATCCATATATTTTGAGGCTGATATAATCAATTGGAGGATTTTCTAGCATTAAAATAATCGTTTTTGGTAGATTTTTGAGGTGCACTTGTACAATATAAGGTTGATACCTTATATAAACTTTTTCCTTTTGTATATTCGGGTAAAATACACTTGTCATACATGATTTTTTTTGAAATAAAATATCAAGTGGACATCCAAAAAGAAAAGACAGAGGGAATGAGAGATACGTGATATTTTTTGAAATAAAATGTCAAGTTTGACATTCAAGAAGAAAAACAAATGGAAACGATGATTTTTTTTAATTAAAATATCAAGTGGACATTAAAAAAGAAAAGAACGAAACAGAGATTCGAATTATGAGAGAGGGAGAAAAAAAAAAGATAAAAAAGAAAAAAGAAAAAGAAAAGAAAGAAGAAGATAGTAGTTATAGAGAGAGAGAGAGAGAGAGAGAGAGAGAGGGAGGGGGTTCAAACCTCAAAGTGCAAGATTGCTTGAGATTTTTCCCCACAGACACAGAATCCGCTTGAAGTCAATGGTTTGCTAATTATTTTATGTATACCTTTACATAACAAATGTTTTTATATCTTATTTTGCTAATGGAATCGTCAGCAAAAGAAATTCAAATAATTGATAAAAATAAAGTGAAGGTGACCAAAAGATGCAAAAGGTCAAAAAAAAAAAAAAAAAAGCAACAAATAATCGTTATTGGTACATCACAAGAAAGTAGAGCCCCGTTAAGAAAGATAATTATGTAACCAGACCAATATATATATATATATGAAAATGGAAATGATAAGAACAAAAAAAAAAGATTAAGAACCAACTGCCTTTTCTTTCTATTCATGTAACTTGCAACTGAAAAATTCTATTAAAAGATACATGGAAAGCAAAATCTTTCTTTTTCTACTTTTGGATGCCCCATTTTTGTCAACATGAACCAAATGCCAAAAATGACACCATAAAAATAACAAGAATGGTCATTCCCCTAAAATAATGCATTTCTTTTTTGAAGTAAGTTTCACATCACTTTATATTTAGTAATGCCATGTTCACATCACCTTACCTACCCTGTGTGTTTAGTAAGCCATAATGCTCAAATAATGCATTTCTTTTGTGGTCTGTAAAATGCTTTCCATTTATATAACTAACAAATATCCAAAAGCAATCTTTCTCAAAAAAATAAAAATAAAAGAAATATCCAAAAGCCAATCAACCTCCAAAAAAAAAAAAAAAAAAACAAAAAAAAAAAATCCAAAAGCAATCGACGTGATGCACAACTTAGTTTTAAATCGTAGCACGTTTTACTGGCTTGTCTTTGAAGGCTTGAAAGCCAACGTGCGCTACTCTACTCTACTCTACTCCACGTAGGTTTCTTTACAGCTAGCACGACTACCTTGTCGCTCTCTTATCACAGCACTTTTTTCTTTACAGCTAGCACCAGAACGTTGTCGCTTCCTCTTATCACAAGACTTAGAGAGATAAAATAAACTATTTAATGTTTCTTTTCTTCTTCTTTTTTTTCTCTTGATGTAGGGTATATGTACAAATCTATAATTCCATTAGTTGGGATAATGAAGCATGAATTACAATGGCGAAAAAAGAAATATACCAGTGGTACAGAATGAAAAGATTACAACTATGAATTATAATTATATTGTCCTCACCTTGTCACTGTTAACACCAACACGCACACCCTATTGTGCACGGAAGCTCTAAATTCAAAATGTTATTTTTTTAAAAAAATAAAGTACCAAAAAAATAGAACCATTAACAAGCGAGAAGAATAAAGCAGTTGGGTTTAGAGCTTCCGCGAATAATAAGTGGTATCAGAGTGCATAGTTCAGTACACGGCTGGTGTTTATGCATTCGGTTGAAGAAATGTACATGATAAAGTATGTGGGTGTTTTATTTGAGGTGGAAAAATATGATGGCAAGAAGTTTTTTTATCCAATAAGAATGATGAAAGAATTTATCTTGCAAAATATGATGAATTGGTAAAGCCATCCTCTGGATGTTGGCATAGTGAGGAGGTGATTTTGATATCAAGGTGGAGATTGTTGGATATGATGATATTCAAGATCACCCACGTAAGAAAATCCTATATTATGCGGGATATAGATTGATATTAATAAGTTTCTTAAAAGAAATAAAAATAAAAAAAGATTAAGACACTTAGATATATCTCTTGGTTTTTGAGATATATGTAAGGAAGTTTCTTATTTAATGTGGATCCCTAATATTATATATATGGGATAAAAGAGGAAAGAAAATATATGTGCCTTATTTGAGTCACCATATAGGAATTGTACCCCTTGTAGATTGAGAGGCTAGTTTTTTATTTTGAAAATTTTTTATGGACGCTCTGATACCATGTAAT